TCAATAAATACTTGTTTAATAAATTAATGGAATAGTTACAGATGGAGGCACAACATATAGAGTTGATAATTCTTCGACAAAGAATTTTTATCTTTATGATAAAAATATTATTTTATGCTAAAGCATACTATTTTATGGTAAAAGATATGATTCTAGCCTAGAGGTGACCAAAGGCTGGAGTTCAAAAGGCTGTTTGTGTCCTGGCCCTCGCATGCTGCATTGAGGAGTCTGTCACATCCTGAAAATGATGGAGTATCATTGAATAGTTGTAAATAGGTAAATAATAAAGAAGCAGTTATATATAGGGAAACTCACTCTGTTAACTCATTGTGGGTGACCCAGTTAGGAAAAACATGAAAGTCTTCAGAAATCTAGATGAAAATTGAAGAAATCTTAAAGAAGTGGCAGTGAGAATAGAGAGCATTTTGTTTCGTTTTGTTTAGACAAAATTCATAAGTAAGGTAGCTAAGATTCTTGGATATTTTTATTTTATTTTTTAAAATTCTTCATTGTTGAAAGTATTACATATGTCTCCTTTCCCCCCACTGACCTCTCCCTGGCTGCTCCCACCCCCCAGCACATGCCCTGTTGGATATTTTTAAAACATAGAATGTATTCGTTTTTATAGAACAGCAGGCACGTTTTAAGGAAATAAGACATACAAGTAGGTGATACTATTTGGGCCAATCAAAGTGTGAAAGAGGAGCCACTATACAGCAGAAGTGGAATCTTGGGGCTCTCCATGAGATAAAGGTGCCCGGGGAGTGACCTCACTCATTTTATGTTGCCTAAATTTCTACTCTCCCTACCTATGTTGTGTTCAATTTCTTATACCTTATTAGCAAACAAAAATCTATGGAATTCATGCGTGAATAAATAAATGTAACTAGTGAAATATTTAAAATACATATTTTATATGCTTATAGTGTGTCTGTTAACTTTAATTGTTATTTTTATATACATTTTCAGCTCTGGTCCTTCACAGTTCACTTTAAATACAATGAGAATTTTCTTTTACTTGTGAGTAAAGTGTTAAGCAAGTATTCATAATGGTTGCAAAATCCAAGCCAAAAAATATTTAAGGCTATCATTATGATAAAACTATAGCTATAGAAGAAAAAAAAAAAAAAGAAAGAAAGAAGAACCCAAAACTTAAAAGATCACAAGCAAAAAAAAAACAC